GGTAAGCACTCCCATCCCCATGAATTACCTTACTAATGGCCCATTCTAGTTACATTTTGAAATTAAGAGTTTCGGTGATAGAATCTTACCTCATAGGAAGAAGACCTAGGTGCCTCTCTTGATAATGTTCAAGGTTTTAAGTGAGAATTGAAGAGAAATTTGATGAGGATCACTTCCTCCCTCTAGGACCCTCTCTCTCACTCTAAAAATATCAGAAAATAAGTTCAAAATGGTCCATGGTAGGTGTTTTAACAGAATAGGGTCGGGTTTAAAAACCACAAAAATAAAACTCCGGAACAGGTTCTGCGGTCGCATATGCGACCACATAATAGTTATGCAGTCCGCGAAATAACCGTGAAATTGGGGTGCCAATACTGGAGAGGAACTGACCAGGTCTGCGGTCACTATGCGGCCCGCAGACCTGTTCTGCGGTCACTATGCGGCCCGCAGACCTGTTCTGCAGTCGCATAATGCACCGCAAAATGGTTCTGTGGTCGCATAGTGCACAACAGAACCTCCCTCCGAAAAATCCCAAAGCGGGATATGCGAAAAGAGTGTGGCCCGCGAAATGGTTATACTGTCGCATAATGGGCCGCAAAAATTTCATTAAAAATGGCCCAAAAGACTGCTCCACTCTGCGGCCATTCTGCGGTCCGCAGAGTGGTTTTGCGGTCGCAGAATGGACCGCATAAATGCCTACTTTTGCCCAACATTTTCCTTCAACTCCCCAGCATACTGTTCAATCCAAAAAGTCCTAACCATGGCGAGATTGCGAGCCATAAAGAATTTCTACTATTACTAACCTCTATGCCTACTTCGGCATCCCGAAAATCCGGGTTTTTAGAAAAACTTTTACGGGGCCTTACATCCTCCCCACTTAAGATTATTCATCCTCGAATGAGGGTCAGGGTCCATTATTAGCACCTTATACAACTCAATTTTTCATACCCCATACCAGCAGCCCCAAATTTAACTAATTCCCCAAATTTCCAAAAATTTCGCAAGAGTTTCCTTTGTAACTAAGCTTATCCACCTGTCAGAGAGCCCTAGAATCACATCCTAAAAACGTGTACACAATCCAACGATGTAGAATAACTCATAACAATACCAACCGTGGCCTCATGTAAACAACATATAATCAAAAGGAACACCTTTACATCAATTGAACAAGTGATACAAATATTCAAAGGTGACAAGTTCATAAAAAGAAAGGATTACACAACTATTCAAACAAGTAAGGATACTTCTTCTTAATTTCTTCCTCGGCCTCCCACGTGGCCTCTTCAACCTGCTGGTTTCGCCATGACACTTTCATGGAGGCAATTTCTTTATTCCTCAACTTTCGGACTTGTCTATCAAGAATGGCAACTGGAATTTCTTCATATGACAATTCTTGATTAACCTCAATAGTCTAAACTGGAACAATGGCTGACGGATCCCAACTACCTTCTTCAACATAGACACATGGAATACCGGGTGGACTAATGACATTTCGGGTGGTAGATCAAGCTTGTACGTCACCTGGCCAATTCTCTGAATGATTTTGTACGGACCGACATACCTCGGACTCAATTTCCCCTTTTTCCCAAACCGCATAATACCCTTCATGGGGGAAACCTTCAAGAATACCCAATTATCTTCTTTGAACTCTAAGTCTCTACGATGGACATCCGAATAGGATTTTTGACGTCTCTGGGTAGTTTTCAACCGCTCCTTTATGATCTTAATCTTCCCCATAGCCTGATGCATGAGGTCTGGCCCTATCAACTTAGCTTCCCCAATCTCGAACCAGCCAATGGGAGATCTACATCTCCTACCATACAATGCCTCAAATGGTGCCATCTGAATACTCGCATGAAAGCCGTTGTTGTAAGCAAACTCTATGAGTGGGAAATGATTATCCTAGCTACCCTTGAAATTAAGAACACAAGCATGCAACATGTCTTCAAGCGTCTGAATAGTCCGCTCTGCTTGCCCGTCGGTCTGTGGGTGGAAGGCTGTACTAAGATTTACCTGAGTACCCAAACCTTGCTGAAATATCTTCCAAACATTGGCCGAAAACTAAGCCCCTCGATCGGAAATGATGGAAACTGGAGTGCCATGCAGCCTGAGTATTTCCTTGATATACAATTGAGCATACTGTTCCGCTGTGTCGGTAGATTTAACTGGCAAGAAGTGTGCTGATTTCTTGAGTCGATCCACGATCACCCAAATTGAGTCAAACTTGCGTGGAGTGCGCGGTAATCCTACTACAAAATCCATATTAATAATTTTCTACTTCCACATTGGAATTTCTATGTTCTGTGCCAACCCACCATGCCATTAATGTTCGGCCTTCACTTGCTGACAAATCGAACACCTTGCCACAAAGTCCGCGACATTCCTTTTCATGTCATTCCACCAATAGACTTCCTTGAGATTGTGATACATCTTTGTAGAACCTGGATGCACGGAATACCTAGAAGCATGAGCCTCAGTCATGATTCTTTCCCGGAGACCATCTATATTCGGAACACATAGTCGCCCTTGGTACCTCAGTGTACCATCATCCATGCCAAGCGCAAAAGCGATAGTCTTATGTTTATGAATCCCCTCCTTCAGCTGTACCAACAATGGATCGTTGTATTGCTTCTCTTTGACTTCCACAACAAGCGATGATTCAACCCTATTTTGCACAATTACCCTTCCTTCACTAGAGTCCGTAAGACGAAGTCCCAAACTAGCTAGCTAATGAACCTCCCTGGCCAACGACCTTTGACATGCCTCCAAGTGAGCCAAACTACCCATAGATTTCTGGCTAAGAGCATCCGCCACAACATTGGCTTTCCCCAGGTGATATAGAATATTGATGTAGTAATCCTTGAGTAACTCAAGCCATCTTCTCTACCTCAGATTCAACTCCTTTTGCTTGAAAATATATTGAAGACTCTTACGGTCCGCGAATACATCCACATGGACCCCATACAAATAATGACGCCAAATCTTCAATGCAAAAACCATCGCCGCAAGTTCTAAGTCATGAGTTGGATAGTTATTTTCATGATTCTTGAGTTGCCTAGAAGCATAAGCTATAACCTTGCCGTGTTTCATTAATACACACCCAAGCCCGATCCTTGAAGCATTGTAATATACCACAAATCCTCCCGTACCCTCTAGCAGGGTCAACACCGGTGCCGTAGTCAATCTCGATTTTAACTCCTGGAAGCTCCTTTCACAAGCATCAGACCATTGGAACTTAACCTCTTTCTGAGTCAATTTAGTCAACAGAGAGGCAAAAGTAGAGAACCCCTCCACAAACTTCCGGTAATACCCTGCTAAGCCCAAGCAGCTGCGAATCTCGGTTGGCATTGTAGGTCTAGGCCAATTCTTTACTGCTAAAATCTTTTGAGGATCAACCTTAATTCCTTCTCTAGAGACAACATGACCCAAGAACATGACAGATTCGAGCCAAAATTCACACTTTGAAAATTCCGCATACAATTGGTTGCTGATGAAGAGTTTGCAACACTGCTTTGAGATGATTAGCATGGTCCTCCCGACCTCGTGAATACACGAGAATATCGTCAATGAATACTATCACAAAGGAATCGAGAAAAGGCTTGAAAACGCGATTCATAAGATCCATGGAAGCCGCCGGGGCATTTGTTAGCCTAAAAGACATTACCAGAAATTCAAAGTGCCCATACCAGGTCCGGAAAGCTGTTTTCGGAATATCTTGCTCCCTGATATTTAGTTGGTGGTACCCGCACCATAAATCAATTTTGGAGAAGTACCTAGCTCCCTGTAACTGATCAAACAAATCATCTATTCTTCATAACGGGTACTTATTTTTGATTTTGACTTTGTTGAGCTGCCGGTAGTCAATACATGTACGTAGTTATCCATCTTTCTTCCTCACAAAGAGGACTGGTGCGCCTCATGGTGACACACTCGGTCGGATGAAACCCTTTTCTAACAAATCCTTCAATTGATCCTTTAGTTCCTTCAATTCTGCTGGTGCCATTCTGTAAGGCGGAATAGATATAGGCTGCGTGCTTGGCATCACATCAATCCCAAAATCAATCTCCCTGTCTGGCGGAATCCCAGGGAGCTCATCAGGAAAGACCTCTGGAAATTCATTCACAACTGGCACAGACTCGAGTGTAGGCGCCTCAGCATTGGTGTTTGTAACCCGGACCAAATGATAGATACACCCCTTGTTAATCATCTTCGTGGCCTTAAGGTAAGAAATAAACCTACCCTTGGGCACCACATTATCCCCCTTCCACTCAACAGCCGGCTCATTAGGAAATTCAAACCTCACAGTTCTAGTTTGGCTGTCGAGCTTAGCAAAACATGAATAAAGCCAATCCATCCCCATAATTACATCAAAATTGACCATCCCCAATTCAATGAGATCGGCCACGGTGTCCCAACCACGTACTGTGACAACACAACCCCTATACACCCTTGCGGCCACAATAGACTCGCCAACCGGAGTAGATACAGAGAACGGCTCATGAAGCTATTCCGATTCTATCCGAAATTCCATAGCAACATAAGCGGTAACATAGGACAAGGTGGAACCGGGATCAATAAAAGCATATACATCATGAGATTGGACAGTCAATATACATGCGACAACATCTGGAGAAGCCTCTGCACTCTGGCGACCACTCATAGCATAGAAACGGCTGGGTCCTCCTGAACTCTGCGCACCACCCCTAGCTGCACCACACCCTCTGGTGCTGGAGAGCCTCGAGCTGGAGGAGGTGCTGGAGATGTAGCAACTGCAGAACTGGATGGCTGTGCTGTACCCCTGCCCGCACCCTGGCTGGATGAACGACACTCCCTCTGAATATGACCCCTCATTTATCACCCGTAACATACCGGCATGTCCTGTTAGTAGATCCCCATATACATACTCCCACACTTGGGGCATGGGGGCCTCCATTGCTGCTGGAATCTCCCTCCTGATCGGCCCTGGACCCCCTGCTGCCCTGATTGGGCCTGAAGGGATGCCTATGTTGCTGACTGTGCCCCGCTGGTAGTGCACTGGTTGAAGACTGAGCATAAGACTGGGATGGCCCTGATGACCCTCCCTTAAAAACTGATCTTCCACCACCAAATGAATCCTTAGGGTTGCCCGCGGATCGGGTCCTACTTCTACCGTCTCGCTCCATCATGTTCTTTAACTTTCAGGCTTCTATAGCTTGAGCAAATGCCACCATCTTACCATAGTTCATATCAGAATTTAAGGCAGCTGTGGCAGCCTCCATAGTGGGAATCATGTGAATAGCATATTTAGACAGACGCACAAACTCCATGTGATACTCCCACACACTCTTGATCCCTTACTTAAGAATCTCAAACTCTACGACACGGGCTGCCCTAGTCTCGGTAGGCAAGAAATGGTCTATAAAGGCATCAGCAAACTTACTCCACCTCGCTGGAGGGCTCCCCTCCTCCCGAGAGTCCTCCCACAGCTCAAACCAAGAATATGCCACCCCTTTCAGGCGATAGGCGGCCAACTCCACTCCCTCCATCTCAGCAGTGCGCATAACCCAGAGAGTCTTATGCATCTCATCAATGAAGTCCTGTGGGTCCTCCTCGGGATTAGCATCTGTGAACACCGGTGAATCCAACTACAGAAACCTGTTCACCCTAGAACTAGTGGAATCCCCTGGTTGGCTAGAAGATGTGGGTGCAACATTCGACCTTTGGGCCTGAGAAGCCACTATCTGAGTCAGCATTTGAATAGCTTCCCTAAGATTCTCATCAGAAAGTGAAGAAGTCGGGGGATTATCTTTACCCCGCGGGTATTCAACCGTATCATCAAATAGAGGGTCAACTGCCACTCCTGAAGCAGTATTGGCCCCTTTTCCAATTCTTGCTCTCTTCTTAGGTGCCGTGTACTGAAAGTTAAAGGAATTCATGAGTTAGAGGAGGAATAGTTTCACAGTCAGTTTCATTGCACGATCCAGAATATCAAAGAAGGGTATTATTCCTAAATGTCCAAGTAGCCTCCAACTTATAGATGTGGTCGACAACATACCAATAAGAAGGACTCTACTAGACACGGCTCCGAGACATCCTAGGACACTTTAAAACCTTAGGCTCTGATACCAAGTTTGTCACGCCAAAAACTCGAGGAGCGTGACCGGCGCTCAACCGAGTGAACCCGGCCGAGCAAGCCTGTGAGATACTTTCTACCCAACTCACCCGTAATCAAGAAAAGATGTGATTTCATTAATTATACAGTAGTAAGCTCATTCATGCAATACTAGATTGTTTCATTAGCTATTTCGCCTTTCAGTCCCAAAATACACATATTCTTATAGTCTGAGTGGAACAAGTGATCAAATACAACATAACTTGCTTAACATTCCCAACACCCATATACAACCCACATAGTGTCTACGGAGCCTCTAAAGATACAAAAGAGTGTAAAGAAGGTGCCGGCAACAAGGCCTCGGCTATACCTCAAAAAGTACAATAATATAAACAAAAGATATATTACATGACCCCGGAATGAAATGGGGCTCATCGAGTCCGCTGAGAAGAGGATGCAACACCTATCTGTGATCAACACTGCCTGCTATGGAACCACCTGCATCCATTTAAAGATGCAGCACCCCCGGCGAAAGAGACGTTAGTACTGTCGAATAGTACTAGTATGAAAACTAAACACCATTTCAATAAAATGAATAGTAACACAAGGGAATCAGTCAAGAAGCAATATGAACTGTAAGTAACACTAAAACATCAAGTGAAAGATCACTTAGATTTTCAAGTCAATTACCACGTTATTAGGTTGGATGGTTTTATGCCAATATTCCACAGCCCACAATACCACCGTGTTCTTACACGGAGTCCAATCTCGGCCCGATCGGCTAAGCCATCTCATTTGAGATATCAACCATATTCACTATTTCATTCACAATACCACTGTGTTATTACACGGAGTCCGATCTCGGCCCGATCGGCTAAGCCATCTCATTCGAGACATCAACCATTTCAATCGATCATTTATTTCATATTTCTTTCCCATCTTTTCAGCACATTGGCACAAGTGGCTTTAAATTATAAAGTTGTTCTTGGCACTTGGCCTTATTTAATAATTCGAGTTCTTTACCACAATCCAAAATTATTATTATCATCAATAACAACACGGTTTTTCATTCAAGACTCTTGATTTCACATGTGAGCAATTTAGGATTCAAGGCACATAGAGGCTTTTCACACAATTTGTCATAACAGTCTTTAATCAAATTTGACTTAAAGTCTAGGCATATTAGCACATATTCTAAGTCTTGAACATTTCCTCAGATGACGATATAACATGAAGAAAGCATGGGAACACATATTACACATATATTTGCAAAGTAAGCACATTCGGGATAACAATTTCTAGGACGTTTAATTTGGTACTTATGTCGACTGCATGAATACTGTGGGATTCAATTCTAAGAAGAGGGGGTTTAGCCAACAACCTCAATTGAGCCTCTTAAAACTCTAAGATGTTCCGAAATATTAGCAACTTCAATCTACTTTATCAATATAGCAAAATTGAACCCAAAATTAGGAAAATGATCATAATTCTAGCTCACTCGAGCATTCTATCAAACACTATATGTGTATTAAGGTTTCATGGCCCTTTTTTTATGAAAGACTCCACTAACCCAAACCCCATTCCTTTCTATCTTTAACTCACAACCCCCCCACATACCATAAGAACACATGCATGCAAGGTAAGCACTCCCATCCCCATGAATTACCTTACTAATGGCCCATTCTAGTTACATTTTGAAATTAAGAGTTTGGGTAATAGAATCTTACCTCTTAGGAAGAAGACCTAGGTGCGTCTCTTGATAATCTTCAAGGTTTTAAGTGAGAATTGAAGAGAAATTTGATGAAGATCACTTCCTCCCTCTAGGACCCTTTCTCTCACTCTAAACATATTAGAAAATAAGTTCAAAATGGTCGATGGTAGGTGTTTTAACGAAATAGGGTCGGGTTTAAAAACCTCAAAAATGAAGTTCCGGAATAGGTTCTACGGTCGCATATGCGACCACATAATGGTTATGCAGTCCGCAAAATGACCGCGAAATTAGGGTGCCAAAACTGGAGAGGAACTGACTAGGTCTGTGGTCACTATGCGGTTCACAGACCTATTCTGTGGTCGCATAATTCACCACAGAACGGTTCTGTGGTCGCATAATTCACCGCAAAACGGTTCTGCGGTCGCATAGTGCACCGGAAAACCTCCTTCCGAAAAATCCCAAAGAGGGATATGCGACAAGAGTGCTGCCTGCAAAATGGTTATGCGATCGCATAATGGGCCGCAAAAATGACATTAAAAATGGCCCAAAAGACTGCTCCACTCTGCGGCCATTCTGCGGTCCGCAGAAATGCCTACTTATGCCCAACATTTTCCTTCAACTACCCAGTGCACTATTCAATCCAAAAGGTCCAAGGAACACAGTGATTGTTCAAACCATAGGAGCGACATATACCGAAGAGAAAAAGAGTGGCTCAAGAAGGATCCCAACACCAGGCTGCCTTGCATTGGATGTGATACCACATAGGTAAATATTACGATGGTGCGTGCATAGGCACAAATGAGCAGATGTTATTCATTCGAATCAAAAGGTTCCGTAAGAAATTCATCAGGTATATTCCCTTGTTGAGAAGTTAGGAAAGCAAGTGGGAAGTATTAATTATAGAGTAGTAACTCAATTTAAGGACATAATTATAGAGCTCAATTCCTCAAGAGGTTGTAAATAAGAAAATTTGTGATAGAGTGGCGTCACGAATAATGCATCTCGTTCAAAGAGTAGATATAGAGAACGACTCATAAAGTTGTTCCGGTTCTATCCGAACTTCCATAGTAGCATAAGGAGTGACATATGACAAAGTGGAACCGGGATCAATAAGAGCATACACATCATGAGATTGGACAGTCAATATGCTTGCAACCACATATGGAGAAGCCTCTAACTTTTGATGTCTCCTTATAGCATAAAACCTAGTGGGCCCTCCCGAGCCTCAAGCTGGGGGAGGCGATGTAGATGTAGTAGCTACAGAACTGGCTGGATGGGCCACACCCCTGCCCATGCTCTGGCGAGACAAATAACAATCTCTTTGAAAGTGACCTGTTATACCACACTTGTTGCATACTGTCACGCACCCGAACCTGGGG